CATGGTAGGATTTATTTAAATTTCTTTAAAAGCTCCGATGTTTCATAATCACTAATTATTTATATGTTAAACACACACTGATAAGGTTAACAAGAAAAATTGCTCAGACATTATTAAGCGACTGATGGCACACCTTTTACCATCAAGTACTTCTGATCCATCAACAAGTTATCCACCCCCATCCACGTTACTTGAGCCTGCTTACCGGGCTAATATTATAAATCGTATTATTTACATTTGTTCTCAAAATTCGTATAGTAACATCTCGAATTTTGAATGGTATATTGCTGTCTTGGTAGATTTGACTTATGTAGCTGAAGTAAATGTCGGAGAACTATTAGCCCAACAAATAATGGATGTCGGTGTTCGTGTCAAAAGTGTACGGCAATATTGCGTAAAGACCATGGTGAGTTATCTTGGTGATTCAAACATCCATTAAATCGCTATATTAATATTATATATTATGTCATATATTGATTTTATCGTTTTAGCAACGATTGATTTCGGATACAACTCTTTTAGAAAATTGTAAACTTTCAGATTCAAATGCTGAAGTGCTTTATGCTGCGGCATGGATATCTGGAGAATTCTGCAGGTTGATTATATAACCTAATGTTGTAAGTAATTGTGAAATTTTACTCAAGTTCAGTTGTTCTAATAATTTGATTTGATTTTTAGTTATTTGGAAAATCATGTTGAGACAATTGAGTTCCTTGTTCAACCCGGTGTTACAAAACTTTCGCATAGCGTTCAAGCTGTATATATTCACGCAGTTTTGAAAATTTATTCTTATTGGGCGAATAGTCTAGTCTACAACTGGGATGATGATGTTAAGCAAGAGTTAATACAGATTACTGCCAAACTGAAGGATAAAATTGGAATCTTTGGTTCGTGTACAGATTTGGAAGTTCAAGAGAGGGTAAACTTTATTGACCATATTCAATCATGAAAATAATTTTATCAAGTTTTATATCTCATACCTAAAATTTATTAGGCATATAATATACGTGAAATATTTTCCATTATTCATCAAAATTTGGTTAATGGAGAGAATAACTTCCAAGATGAAAATGAATATTCTCCAGCGAAAGCCCCTACAATAATCACTGAACTTTCGCCGCTTTTCTTCTCATACGAACTCAATCCTGTTGCTCCTAAAGCACAAAAGAAAGTCCCTATACCAGAGGGACTTGATTTGGATGCTTGGATTAATGAGCCGCTACCAGTGTCAGAAAGTAGTGAAAGTGAAGAAGAGGAGGAAAGTTATGGATATGGTTATGGGCAGAAAATTGGTGGAAGTGGAGATTTAATATTTTCAAGTGGTAATGGATCCACTGTTGGTAGAAGAAGAGGAAGGAAAAATGGAAGAAAGGGTGGATATGAAAGTGAAGAGAATGAGGAAATTCGAGAGAAAGTATATATCAGAATTCATTTTACAATTTTTGCGATATCAAATTTTATATATTTAAAATGATTAATGGGCTGGAATTTTTAAACGATTACAGCGTCGTAATGAAAGAAGGGAACGTATTAAGAATGATCCATATTACATTAACGATGACAAAAAAACTCCACTGAAACTATCAAAGTCCGATGGGTTGCCTTCACCACGTAAAATCGAAGAGATTGACGTGGATTCAATACCAGTAGTTCGTTTAACTATGAATGAATTCGATTTCAAATGTAGATATTTATGGATTATAAAACCTTGCACGTTTATTAATTTATATAACGGTTGATAGTAATCATTTCCTTTAAAAATTTTTTTTCCCTTAGCAAATAGAAAGTTTTCTGGAAAATCGAAAAGGTCAAAAGGAATTAAGAAAGCGGATCGGCGTTCGCCTTCGCCACCATCAATGCCTCCAGTCATTTATACTGACATTGGTGAAATGCCGGAGAATGCTACTATATCTGATGACGAGAAAGAAGCTAAAAATAACAATGTTCGACAAACAGTCTGGAATGTGTCGGAAAAGAATGGTGGCATTTTAGATGTTGATTTTTCAGGTGTTGCTAACGTGGATTTATCAACGCCTTTAGGAGATGATGAAAAGTTTCCACAAATGAGAGTTTATCTTAGTCCTGAGGAAGTAAGAAGAGTAGAAGAAGAGAAGAGAGCTAAACTGTTGTCGGAAGCAGCTCATTTGAAAAAGAACAAAGTAGGACATTAAAAAAAGACTTTTGACAATCATTTTCTTAAAAAAAAAAAAAAGAAAAAGGGTTATTTATTTAAACATCGTTTTTTCCTGCTAGAGTGAAAAATCAAAGTCGAAATCTGGATCAAAAGCTTCTTCAAAAATCACATCTAATACTACATCGAAAACAAGAAATCAACGTGAGGAGAAACCTGTCAAAAAGAAGAAGTCCTCCAAGAAAAAGAATACAGAAGAAACAGGACCTAATAAAAAGAGTAAAAAGAATGGTGTTCAAAAGGTATAATTCCTTTTACATTTCAGGAATTTTTGGCAATTTTTTCGAAACTTATTCTTAATCTTGTAGAAATCAAAGAAGAAATCTGTGTCCGAACAAGTGATATCCGAAAACATTCAAGATACAAATGGACCATATGAAATCATCAATACTCCAGTCAAGACTTTATTAGATTTGGACGATTTGCACGTTGTAAGTTTTTTCCCCTATATATAAAGAATTCGAATCGTCCAACACTTGAGTTGTGAACAAAGGCATTGCTTCATCCTAAAGGCTTCGCGCCTCCCTGTATCTGAAACGACGTTTCTACTAGATCAAAAATATGAATTCCAAAGATTTTTTTTTCATTAATTCTAATTTACCTTTTTTTCAGTCTTATACATTACATCTAGGAACTGCAACCGAAATTAAAAATGAACCTCCTGCCATCATTGCCGATTTTACTCTTCGAAATAAAATATCGGATAATTCATTAATTCAATTATCATTTACTTTTGAATCTACATCGGACATTCAATTTGATAATGCGTCACTAGAAATAGGTGAATTACAAAGTAATGAACAAAAAGAAATACATATCGAGTTTAAAGTTTTGGGAATCGTAGGTGTGCGTTTAAATGTGTCCGGCAACGTGTCTTATTCAACACCGGTAATTAAGATTACTTTTACATTTGTTATTTAAAGAATTATTTCATCCTTTAATTCTAACCCAATTTTAATGCTTTAGTCATTGGACGAGGAAGAGGCGATAATCCACAATATACCTATCAAATTTGAATTACCATTATCAGTGTTTATGCTTAATCTTCCTAAAATCACTCCAGAACAATTCAGTTCAATCGTTTCAGAATCGTCAAATTTTCCTTTCTCCGGATCAACATTGATTCAATTGAATCCAACCGATCGTACTTTTGAACAAACTTTTCAAGATGAATTAATAAGATTAACTTCTATTGCAACTGGGACACATATAGTTCAAGAAATACCTTCAGCAATAACTATTTACGGTAAAAGTGTACAAGGGTATCAAGTTGCAGGATTAGCAAAATTATTTATTGAACAGAATGTAGAGGAAAATGAATTAAATAATCATAATATTAAAGCAAATATAAGAATTGAAATTAAATGCACGGATCAAGCATTCATGGACGGATTAGTTAGAGAGATAGATAACATGTTTAAAGAAATTTTGTGAAAAAAAAATTTTTATTATTTTATTTTATTATTTTAGAAATATGTAATAATCATTTTCATTGTATTTTTTTTTTTTTCCTTTTTTTTAGTGGTAGATATTTAATTGCAATGACATTATCATTCATCAATTATTTTTTATTATTATTATTATTTTTTTATTTTTAATATTTATTGACAGTTAATTGTATTGGTTTTTTAATGAGTATAATTTATCTTATTCCTTATAACCTTATTAAACCAATAGTTTTTTTCTCGACATTTTTTTTTTTTTAAAAAAAAAAATATGATATTGCGATACTTTATCATCAATGCATTTTTGAGTGAAAGAACGTGATTTATTACATTAGTAAATTAGAACAAAAATTGTGCAAAAGTCATTTGGAAAATATGTCTTCATTATCAAAACGTTTCCTTTTACGTTTTTGAATCATATCATTTGTTAAATAAAAAGCTCTTCTTCCTTCTTTAATTGTTCATCGATTTTTTAAAAGATTTGTAAAAATTAATTATTTTTAAATTTTTATATTCAATTAATTTGAACCAATAAAAAAGTTAGTTAATCGTCCACTTAAAAGAAACATTATGTTTTACTAAAGTTTTTTATTTATAATGATGCAATGGAGGTTCAAAAAAAAAAATAACTACAGATTTCCTAGATTCCTATTATCTACAAGGTCAATTATGTATAAATTTTTGTGCTATCTTTATCACCCAACGTATCTTTACCAATGAATTTTTGTTGACTATCTTTCAACATATCAACTAATTTCTCTAATTTTCCCAAATCCTTTTTAGTTATTTTACTTTTCTTTGTTTTGTCCAATTGAGCTTCAACATCATATAATTTATTTCTATAACTCAATAAAATCTTATTAATTAAATCCAAAGCTTCATGACTTTTCTCTAAAACTTTTAACACGTTTTCCGCATGCTTTAATTCATCCCTTGCATTCAACACATCAATAGCCTTATCATCATCAATTTTTTCCAGATAATATTCTTCCTCATTCAACTTAAGCCTATACTCATGAATGTTTGGACCACGATGAATAAACTTCATTGCCTCTGCAATACCTTGTCGAACCTTCTTTTCAGCAGGACCTCTGTATTCTTCAGCATCAACAATAGCTTTTCTTGCATCAGTAACTTTTCTTCTAAATTCCTCGATATTATTAATCATCTCCTGTATACGACTTTTAAAAAATGCTTCATCCTCCTTATCAAAAAAGCTATCAAATAAGCTTGGATTCAGTTTTTTCATCATCTCAGAAATTTCATTGTTCAGTACCCAAAATAACATGTCACCTTTACGATACATATCTTCTAATGCTATTCCTGCATCCATTATTTTGTCAGAAAATTTTCGAAGTAGACTTGCGATGGATGGACCTGTCTCTTTGAATGCCGGACTATCTTCAACTATATTTGCAAATCTACGACTTGATACTGTTCCATCCATTACAGTACCAGATGCTAAAAATAGAAATGATAAAATGATAAACATTTTGTTGTTAAAATATCTAATTTAATTGTTAACAAAAATTTACATGGTAAATCTACTTTAATAATATCTTCAACTAATTGTGTTGTTGAATTAGCAAGTTCTTCGAAAGGATATTGTGAAGTCATCTGTGATAAGAATATATTAAAATCGTTTCTTTAATGTACCAAACAGTATCAATTAACGTATAATTTTCATAAATTAAGCTTATACAACAAAGTTAGACTTTAGTGAAAAATCTAAAAAGTTTAGTTTCAAAGAATCTAAAATTAACTTACTGAGGGTAAAAACATATAAGCTAAAGCAATGCAACCAGTTAAAATTAATATAGTCTGAATCCAAGGATATTTTGCTTGTTCTTTAGGAGTCAACGGAGTTTCTTTTTTGACTTCCTTTTGTTCTACTTTTTCATGCTTTTCTATCATTCCTTCTTGATCTGGAGTTTTTTTATTTCGAAGCCGAAGTGTCTCATCAATTTCATTTTTAATCTTCATATTTTGGAAAAGGAAAAGGAAAACCCATTCTATTTAATTCGAATTAATGACGTGTTTTTGTTCTAACATGATTAATAACCCTACAAAAATAAGGTCAATTTTTAGTGAATTGCCTTATTCGTTAAATTTGGGAACTTGGCTAATTATTTATACAATTATAGATTTAAATTTATTAGTTTATATTTTATAAGGAAAAAAAAAGTATAACTCGAATACCATTATTAGCTCAAAGAGGATGATATAGTTATAGATATGAATCACATGAACTTAATAAATATGAATTTTTGCAATATCTTTTAAATAGAGAATTTGTCACAAATTTATAAGAATTCGATGAGACGAAATAGAAATATAAGACTAAAAATTATATTTATCTAATTCGTACAAATTATTATTCTAAAAGTTATTCATTAAGTTTCTATCGAATTTATAAAAAAAAAAAAAATAAGGAAGTAAAGGATAAAATGTAAACAGGTAGGTAAAGGTATATATGATCGAGATATGCAATAACGAACCAATTCACGATAAATTATGCGACTTCAAAAGTAATTCCTTTCCTAAAAAGGTATTTCGAATTAATTAATTATTAAAATATTATTACTGATTTTAAAGGCATTAAATTCAAAAATTCGAACTGTTTACCTGTAATGCTTTTCGATTTTCAGGATCGATAGAATTCCATAACGACGCTTTGACGTCATCTGAAAGGCTACTTAGAATAACTTTCACCGCACTAACCATCCTTGTTGAAACGGTTTCTGGTAATATTGCTGCAGCAAGTACCTCAGCGAAGATTGAAATAATACGAGGAATATTCTCATTATTATTGCCTAAAATTGCAGGATGTTGACTAACAAATTGGAAAGAAGAATTCGAATAAGTATTGAATAATGCACCAAGAAAGCATGTGATCAACTTACGATTCTAACAAATCCAGCAAATAAGTATAGGTTTGTGCTGCTTCTTCTTCATCATAAAGAATAGGTAAACTAGCAAACCAAGCAGGAATTACTGCATTAACATCAAATTTACTGTGATTATACTTTAAAATCTTGGAAATTGCAGATATCGCGTTTTCTGTTGCATAAACATTTTCATCTTTCCGTGAACCCTCGGAATTTATTACTTGGAATAAAGGTGTTAGTGCAGCTGATTTTTTAATAAATAATAATTAAAGTATGTTCAGATAATAATAAAGAATAAAATTAATATAGAATTTGAAAAACCTGCAACAGCATCTGCATAATTTTCGCCACCAAATTGCGCGCAGACTCCAATTCCATAAGCTGCAGCTTGTCTAACATCGGAAGCTGAATATTCATTAAAAGATTAGATCAGCCACAAGATAAAAAGTTTTATCATATAAATAGCTAAAAAAAAAAAAGCTATACCTATATCCAATAAAGATGCAATCATCTTTTCCAAGAAATGAGTATGATAGTTCCATGATGCTGGGCCAGTAAATTCAACAACATCGTCTATAACACATAACGCCCATTGACGTGCAGCTGGATTAGCGTCAGCTAAAAATGTGGTGACGATTGGTAGCAACTTATCAAATGATAAAAGATAAGATGTTCGATGAGTCTTCAAAACAACGTGTATAGCTTTTGAAAGTTCGCCAAGAACACCTTCTTCGGTTGCCTCCTCTTCGGCTATAATGTCTTCATCTTCAGCATCATAATCGCCACTATGTCGAGCTTGTTCACGTTGCTTTAGTCTCTGATAGAATTCTTGCAATTGAGCTTCAGTAGCGTTTGTAAACGCTTCCAATAGAGAAGTGTCGAGACTATTATCACCAACTGTTTCCAATGATTCGTAGAAAGTAATATATAGTTGCCATAAAAAGCTAGGATCAGGCCCTCCCATAATAGCCTCAATTATTTTCTTTGCAATTGTATGCCACATATTTAAAACATAATCCTGATTAGCATTAGCCTTCTTGACTGAGTTAAGAAGATGCGGAATAGTCGCGGCTGCCGCATTTCGTATACCTTCATGGAAGCAAAATTTCAATAGAGGCAAAACAATTTCCAGAACACTATCAACGTATGGTTGAAATGAAGAACCAAGTTCTCGCGCATAGCAAATAAGCATTTCTACTGCTGTACATTTTTCTTCTAATACAGTAGTCTTGATACCAATTTGCTATATATAGACAAGTTATAAATATAATTAATTCGGTAAATGCACAAAACTTATGACAGTAAAATTCCTTACCTGTCCTTCTACTCCAACAAATTCCCAGCCGTCATCGGCCGAGTATTTGGATTCAATATCATCGTCGGCTATTTAAGAAAATTAATTATTGTTATCGATTAATTTGCTATATCATCACAGTCAATAAATTTATACTAACGATCTAAAATAGCAAAATCTGGTTTTAATTGAGCAGATTGCAATAGAGGAGGCATAACAATGGGCAAATAAGGTACAAATTCCTCGCCAAGTACTTTGCATACTCTGGCCCAAGAAGCAATAAGGTACGATATTTGAGGATCATCAGGTTCAGTAACAGATTCTAATTAAATACAAAGAAATTTAATCTCGTGATTTCGAATTTTGTTTTCACCAAAAAAAAAAATTTATTAAACTCACGTTGAGTCTGAGCCAACAATGTAATAAATTCTTCAGCGTTTGGAGTGAAAATTTCTTTGCCAACTGCTAAAGCTAATTTTAAGAAAATACAATATATGATTAATTTATATAATTATTTAATTACATTTATTCTAAATAATAAATTACTTAATACCAATAAGACTAGCACATTCCATAG